CTTGAGCATGAACATTCTTCATGAATGCGGCCATGTCCTTCGCTTTAACACTTCCCTTCCTTGAGATAGGCAAAGGAACTAAGCCTACAACACTTTAAGGTTTCATTCCATAAACTACTTCAAAGAAAGAAGTATTTATGGTGCGGTTGACCAATGAATTGTAAGCAAACTCGGCCAAATGAATAATACCATCCCAACTCTTGGGATGATCTCCCGCAAGACATCTCAACAAGTTACCAAGACTTCAATTCACTACCTCCGTTTGGCCATCTGTTTGAGAATGAAATGTAGTGCTAAAATTCAAGGTTGTGCCAATTTTCTTCCACAAAGTTCTCCAAAAGTGAGTAAGGAACTTAGTATCTTTATCGGACACAATAGAGGTAGGCACTCTATGTAACTTATAGACTTGTTTGAAGAAGAGGTTAGCAATATTTGTAGCATCTATAGTCTTCTTGCAAGGTACAAAATGTGCCATCTTAGAGAAACGGTCCACCATCACTATAATAGAATCAATCCTCCTTTGTGTAGGAGGTAAACCCAACACAAAGTCCATACTAATGCAGCATTGCCAAGGAGCATCGGGCATCGGTAAAGGCATATATAATCCCTTTTCTTCTTTGACAAATTTGACACCACTTCACATAGTTACCCACATCCTTGGTTATGCCTGGTCAATAGTAAGCATCTTGAATTAACCCAAGGGTCTTGCCTTCGCCAAAATGTCCCAATTTGTGATGCTCAACCAACAAATGCATCCTCAAGAAACAACTAGACACACACACAACTTAAGGCCATGGAAAAGGAAGCCATCCCTAATCATGTAGCTTGGATAAGTAGCCTTAACCCTCCCCTGCAAAGCATCAAAAATCTTGGAAAAATAAGTATCACTTGCATAGAAGGTGCGAAACTCATCAAAACCCGCAACTTTATTCTTCATCTCAACCAAAAGAGTCATTCACTTACTCAAACCGTTGACCATTTTATTAAGAACCCTTGATTTATGTCGAAAACAAAATTTAAATTGTTGCAAATAAAAAACCCATTTGGCATGTCTGTTGTTGAGATGGGATTGGATATTGATGTATTTGAGGGCCTCATGGTCGGTGTTAAGCACAAACTCCTTATAAGCAAGGTAGTAGCTCCAATGCTTAATGGCTTGGATAATGTCATAAAATTCCAAGTCATAAGTAGAATACTTGAGCTTGGCCCCGTTCAACTTTTCACTAAAAAAGGCAATTGACCACCCTTCTTGGCTAAGGACGCCCCCAATGCCCAATCCTGACGCATCACAATCAAGTTTAAAGGTTTTGTCAAAGTCCCGTAGTGCCAAAATTAGAGCTTCAGTAAGTACCTTCTTTAAAAGTTGGAAGCTATCGGCAACTTCTTTGTTTCATTCAAAAGTCTTAAGCTTGAGAATATTAGTTAAAGGAGCAGGGAGACTGCTAAAGTTCTTCATAAACCACCTATAGAAGATAGCCAACCCACAAAAACTCCACACTTCTTGAATACTAGAAGGAGTAGGCCAATCCACAATTGCCTTGACCTTTTCTGTGTCCATAAGCATCCCACGAAAAGACATAACATAACTCAAGAAAATGACTTGATCCACGGCAAATGTACACTTATTAGTGTTGCCATAGAACTTTTCTCACCCCAAAAGCTCAAAGACTTTCCAAACATGGCACAAATGCTTTTCCAAGCTTGAACTATAGATCAAGATATCATCAAAATAAACCACTACACAAACACCCAAAAGTGGTTGCAACATTTGTGTCATCACTCTCATAAAAGTGCTGGGAGCGTTGGTAAGTCCTAATGGCATCGCAAGCCACTCAAATAGTCCATGGGGTGTTTTAAAATCCGTTTTCCACTCATCACCCGGCTTAATGCGGATTTGATGATAACCGCTTCTAAGATTAATCTTAGAGATCACCTTTGACCCGGCAAGGCAATCCAACATATCATCCAATCTTGGAATTGGAAAGCGATACTTGATGGTAATTTTATTGATGGCACAACTATCCACACACATGCGCCATGACCTATCCTTCTTGGGTGTCAAAAGAGCTGGAACACCACAAGGACTAAGGCTAGGCTGGATATACCCTTTAACCAAAAGCTTGTCTACTTGCTGTTGCAACTCCTCGTTCTCATTTGGTGATGTCTTGCCCCGAAATAAATACAGTAAACCATCCATAAAGATAATTAAATAACAAGATAAATTAGAGTGTAATATCCTTCCATTACATGAAACTCAGTTGTACAAAAAGATGTGACACATGTGAGTATACATTCATAAGCTATAACCATGAATCTATAGCATGTGTCAACAACAAAAATGTGAAATAGAAGTTAAACGGGAGGAATCTCTTGGGCAAATACATCGGCATACTTTTCCAAAATAGTAGTCACATCAACCTTTTCCTTAGTAGCATCCGTGTGCATAATCAGAACCAAGGCCAATATAATCCCAAAAGCTCAAGTTTTTTTTTTTAAAATTCCTTGGAGGCAAGCAAGGTGGTAGAACTAGAAGATGGTTTAGAAGTAACTTTCTCCTTCATTAGAAACAAGGTAAAATGGCTTTCATCTTGAGAACGGTGTAAGTGTTCCTTTTGCTATCATACAAAGATTGTCGGCCATATTGCCAAGGATGCCCAAGTAGAATATGACGCGCATCCATAGGCACGACAGCATACCATACCTTATCAAAGTACTTTTTTCGGATAGAAAACACAATCAAACACCGTTTGGTCACATTGATCTCATTGCCTTTCTTGAACCAAGATAGGGAATAAGGATGTGGATGGTCCTCTACCGGAAGGTTAAGTTTAGCCACCACCTCTAGAGAAACCACGTTCTCACAACTTCCACTATCAATGATCATGTTACAAACACGCCACCAATGTTGCAAGTGGTAAAAAAGGTATTGGTATGCAACCAATCTTCTTGGCTCTTTAGCTTCGGTGATAAAAGCATCTTCTTCAACATAAGAGCAAGACCCTCTTCTTTATCACTATCTCTACCAATTTCAATATTGTCCGAAGTGTTATAAATTGGAGCACTCTCATAGTTATCGTGTTCCTTAACTTATTCAATAAGAAGTGCCTTGTTCTGATTAGTACCTATATTCTTGCGACAATCGGAAGATCTATGGCCCAGTTCTCCACATTTGAAGCACTTGAAAGCTCCACCTTGAAGTGGATTTCGGTTTCCGAAAACACCATTAGAACGAGGAGCTTGAGAGGAAAAAGCACCCTTATCCATAAACTTGGAAAGAGGACTAGCTTTGGCAAAGCTAGAAAGAGAAGGACTTAGCCTAGCACCACCTCGAAACCCTTTTTAGACGTATTGCCCCATTTAAGAGACATGACGGTTTGTTGCTTTTCCATGGATAAGGCTCGATTATAGGCTTTAGAAACATTACACATTGTATGCAAGGAAAGAACATCTTGGATTGAAGGCTTTAAACCACTCACATAACGAGCCATCCGTTGCTCTTCAGTCTCATTTAAATCAACTTGAGCAATGAGTTGATAGAAAGACTCCGTGTACTCACTCATACTTCCAACTTGCTTGATAACATGAAGTGCTTGGTAGACACTTTGAAGGTAGTTGAATGGTAAGAAATGACCCTTTAACTTCTTTTTCATCTTCTCCCAATCATGAATTTTCTCTTTTCCACATCGTTGATGATTAAGTTGAAGTTGTTCCCGCCAAGCGGAAGCTCTTCCTTTTAACCGAATGGCAACAAGCTTGACCTTCTTCTCATCGGAAACCTCACCACAATCAAAAATCCGCTCGATAGTGTTAAGCCAATCAATGAATTTGACAGGATTAAGGCTTCCACGAAAGTCGGGAAACTCAATCTTGATATTGTTCTCCCATTTGTATTCCATGCTACCCATACCCTTTTGACGCCTTCGTGGAGCCCAAAAGATATTATCAATAGAATGATGAGTACCACCTTTGGTATCATCGAAACCATCACCACCATTGGTAGAAGGAGGAAGGAGACGTTGCACCGTCTCAGTTAGAATGGCAATTTGCCGTCAGGCCCGGCCCTGAGATTTCCGGGGCCCAAAGCCGAAAATCAACTAACAAATTTCTGGGGCCCTTCACATTTTTTTTTTCATTGAATGAAAAAAAAAATTGAAAGTAAAAGACAAAAGATTTGTGTCAAAATCACAAAAAATACTTAACATTACATTACAATAATTAATAAGTATCGCTTGATCCTCACTCTTCTTGTATTTTTATAAGCAAATAAATCAACCATACTTGCATATTCTAATTTTTTTGCAAAATCATTTTCAATGAATAACAATGCTAATTATTTTAAATGGGCCTTTTAATTTTTTAATGGATTAATTTATTTTAAGTTAATTTGGGCATTCCTTAATTTTTTTTGGACTTAAAATATACTTAATATATTAGACTAAACTATAATAAGAGAGACCCCTTTTTCGGGTCTATTTTCAATGGATAACAATGCTAATTTTTTTGAATGGCCTTTCAATTTTTTAATGGGTCAATTTATTTTAAGTTAGTTTGGATCTTTTTTAATTTTTTTAGACTTAAAATATACCTAATATATTACACTAAATTATAATATGAGGAGGCCCTTTTTTTTAGTCTATTTTGAAGGACCTTAGGTCATAACCTTATGGCTTATGTCCCAGGGCCGACCCTGATGCCTTAAGGACACACATTAACAAACTCTTCCTCCCCCTACCACTTTGACAAGTATATACTGCAACACTATTTACCCTTGAAATTGGCTTGCCTAGCTTCCAAATGTAAGTAGCTAGGGAAAGCTGAGGCAAAATGCCTACCATGTTGCTGATCCTGTTGGAGTTCCATTATGTAATGGTGCTAGTTACAATGCCTAAATATGTTCTTAATGTGATGTAGAATAGCATGTGCATAGATAGTTAGTGGGCATAAAATTATAGCCTATATTTAGAAGAGGATAATCACTTTGTAATTAACTTTTAAATATTAAATATTGATTGATTGAGATATTTCTCTCCCTAAATTCTTTCTTTCTTTCTCTCTCTCTCTAAATTCTCTCTCATTCTTAATTAGGCTCATCATCATTTGGTATCAAAGCAAAGATCTTGATCCTATTTTCTCAGATTCTAAGTAGTTCATTATCTAATGCTACACTATGATACTCACATACCTGATTGGAAGCTTTATTATTGTTGAGTTACGATCGATTGAACCTACTAATTTTTGAAGACCCATCAATTTCGCAGAACCCTGGATTTCGAAATTCAAACTGTTCTTGATCATCACCTTCGTGAGTCGATAGCTAAAGGAAATCGACAATTTTGAAGCCCTAATCGAAGACCTCAGTGGGAATCGCCAATTGCGATGTCTATTTTATCAATATCGATTGTACCTTCGAAGCCCTAAAATACAACAAGTTCAAGTTTGACATTTGGGGTTTCATAGTTCGAAGCTTTGGCCTATTCGAAGTCGTGATCTGGATTGGTAGTCAGTTTCGCTCGACGCCACAGATCAAATCTCCCTGGGCCTCTGGAATTCTTCGCTATTCGTCCCTATTCGAGCATCAATTTCGAGTCGACTTCGCACATTTGTGCGATTCACTGGTGACTTCTGTTTGAGAGGAAATTTTGGTCAAAGGGTTGGGCTTGTTTGGGAGGTTAGAATTAAGCATAGCTTGTTCTTGGGTCACGCAACTTCAATTCTGGTAAAAGCTTGGTTGCTGGGTAATGTCGACTCTCATGTTACAGACTGTTGAACCAATCTGGGTTATTTAACTTGTGGGTAAGTGATTCTTGAAGTCTTTAATCCATCTGTGTTGAATTCCCTGTCTCATGTCCATTATTGAATTCTTTAAATCTGTGTTGCATCAATCCAGGTTCAATTCTTGTCTTCAACATTTTGGGTCTTGCCTCTGTTGTGACATTATTTGTTCACTATGATAAGATTTGTATATTGGTGCACTGTTTTATCAATATTCAACTAGTTGAGATTGTTGTGTCTTTGCATATTCTTGGGAATTGTTCAAAGGCTCAACAAGGTTAAGGTCGTAGGGGTGGTCGTGGCAAGGGTTATGCTCTGGATTTGGGTGATGATAACGAGGATAATGGGGTTCCATATCCGATAGATGAAATGGCCGAGATAAGACGGCAAACAGGGCCGGCCCTGGGACATAGGCCTTGTGGCCCTCAAATAGACTTAAAAAAATGGGTCTCCTCATATTATAATTTAGTATAATATATTTTAAGTCTTAAAAAAATTAAAAAAGGTTCAAACTAACTTAAAATAAATTGATCCATTAAAAAATTGAAAGGCTATTCAAAAAAATTAGTATTGTTATCCATTGAAAATAGAGAGATCTCTCTTATTATAATTTAGTCTAATATATTAAGTATATTTTTAAGTCCAAAAAAAATTAAGGAAGGCTCAAATTAATTCATTAAAAAATTGAAAGACCCATTTAAAATAATTAACATTGTTATTCATTGAAAATGATTTTGCAAAAAAATTAGAATATGAAAGTATGATTGATTTATTTGCTTATAAAAATACAAGAAGAGTGAGGATCAAGCCATACTTATTAGTTATTGTAATGTAATACTAAGTATTTTTTGTGATTTTGACACAAATCTTTTGTTCTTTACTTTTATTTTTTTTTTCATTCAATTAAAAAAAAAACGTAAAGAGTCCCAGAAATTTATTAGTTAATTTTCGACTTTGAACCCCCGGAAATCTCAAGACCGGGCCTGTAAGGCACATATTAAAGATAACATCTTTGTTGTTGTACTTGTTTCCTTTGTTCTTCAATTTGTGTTTGTTGTTGAATTTGCGAGTCATCCTTTCCTTTCTTTGAATTGGGTCCTCTTGGGCTTTTTGCTTCTTTTTATTGCTTTCAAACATAACCTAAAATGGGTTAGGTGGGATTCTTCTCTGTTCTGCTTTTGAGTTAGTTGGTGCAGATCATGTTAATTATATTTGTCTACCTTTTTATAGCTGGCTAAAATTGGATTTACCTTTCCTCTGTTTTATCCCCTCTTATATTAAGAACTTCATTTTAACTTATTAGTACTAATATTCTAATTTTTGGAGGGGACGTGGTAGTGAAATCCTTTTTGTGTTCTCCTTGGCTGTTGATAAAATGTTGATAGTCTTCTTGATCTAACAGGTTTATGCCCATTTCAATTTTGGACCTCTTTGTGCTGAAGGTTGATTACTATTTAGTAGTTAAACATTTATTTTGAAAATGAATTATGGAAAAAACTATTGGTCAAGATGATCACATTTTTATAAACTCATATGTACTCACACAAAATTCTAATATTGTTTTTCAATTAATTTCACAGGGAAAACACGAAGGTGGATTTGTTTTAGTTCTAGCTTTAGAAATGGTGGCAACGTTGGTGGCAGAGAAAGGGAAAAGAGATATGACAAAAGGCAATCTTTCCAATTGGCCCATAGTTCTACTTTAAGACAACAAAGGTCCAATTTGTTTGTTGGTTCACAATTTGATGCAAGATGAGTTTATGATTGGTAGGATAGAAAAGAAGAAATATTGTGTATTTTGTATTACAGATTTCTTCAAAAACTACATTATTTCTTTGCCTTGTTATATTATTTTTTTCAACGATAATGCGACGTGCGTGAGGGTCCAACTAATATAATAAATATATATAGTTACTCTAACGTTGTTGTGAGAAGAAAGTACTTATTTTGGAATGGAGATGGTCTTTTTTCTTCTTCTCACTCTTACTAGGGTATGTTTGGTTTTGTTTTCAATTTATGTTTTACCCATTTTTTTAAAATTCAAAAGACACAATTTTTTTTTCTTCAAAAAAACGTTAAAAACTTGTTTTTATATTTAAAAAAAAATCACAAAAATAAAACATGATAATGGTAAAGACACAAAAACCAAAAACACCCAAACACAAAAAAAATAGACCCTTGAGAGAAGAATATAAACGAGAAAGTGAAAAGGAAGTTTGTATTAGACATGATTTTTCTGTTAAAAAAAATATTAAATTCCAATTTTTGATGCAAGAAAGAAAAGGATTATTACATTATATTTGAGAGGGTATAAGTGTCTCATTAATGTCTTCTATCAAATCTTCAAAACTAGACTAGCAAAAGCTAATAAAATTAGCACGTTGGCCCCAAAAATTTAAAATAACAAAATATAATTTTCTAAAAAAAAATTCCTAATGTAGAACATTAGAATTTCAAATAAATAATAAAATTAGCAATTTGACCCCAAAAATTTAAAATAACAAAATATAATTTTCTAAAAAAAATTTCCTAATGTAGAACATTAGAATTTCAAATAAATAGCCAATAATCTCTCACCTCTTTTCCTTAGGCCTCTCCTGGTGAGACCATGTCGAGGCATTACTGTCCATTTATAAGATCATATTTGTTGAACACCAGAACACAACTATTAAGAACATCTCTAACGGTGAATTAAATTTTTTATCAAATTTGAGTAAAAAAAAATCAATTTTCTTAATTTGATATGACTTGCTCCAACCGTACATCAGAAAAGAAGGGTCGACCGGTTGATCGACCGGTAAGGGTAATTTTTTTTATTTTTTATTTTTACCTGTTTGAACCTCTTTGACCGGTTTGAACCTACCTATTTGAAAGGGAACCGGTCGACCGGTACGTCAACCGGCCGAACAACCGGTTGGTTGACCGATTAGCCCACCTCAACGGTAACGCACAGTGAAATAGTGAAATCTGAAGCCTGTTCTCACTTTGATGAATTTTTTGCTCCATTCTCATTTTGATACCAATTTGGTAAAACCATTACAACTCCCAAAAGTGACCTTTTTTCACCAAATTTGAAATCTGATGCAAAGTTTGATGAATCGTTGAAAATGGTCTAACTAGTTTTAGGCTTTTAGCATGGCCAGGTCATAGCAAGTACACGAATTTAAGCAACTAAATGTATGCATGCTCCTCAACACACTTCAAACAAAAACAAAACAAAATAAAAAAAAGTTACTATTTCACAAGGTATACTACAGAATCCTAATTTCAACATTGTCTTGGCTTTCACATGAACATCCCAAGGAAAAGCCCAAAATAGGAACTGCAACATGACTGACTGTACTCAATCCCAAGTCGCACTTCATAACTCATCAGTTTGGATGACAAGAATTTTGAGAGAAAATGAGAATGTTATTCCTGGTCTTCAATAGAGAATTTCCTAACTTAAACCAAATGCTTAAATAAACATTGACACAGTAATTTCATTACTGGAAATGGGATGGGATTTCTTGAAATGAGATTTCCAACTCATTCTCTTTAATTCCTATCATCCAAACAGAGCCAACTTCGACAAAATTTCAACTTCTTGGCCCCAACCAAAAGTTAGTCCCAACATGTTCTTACAGCTTAGAGAGTTTTCACTCAAGAAACAAAAGGTATTCCATAACATGAAAATTTGAAAAATAGTAATAATCATAATCAAATCAAATCTTGAGATGTACTTAATTACACACAGAATAAAGTCAGCACTGGAAATTCAATCCCAAATACCAAACTGTTGCACAAAATCAATACATAGAACAAATGAAACTAAAAAGAAAAAAAAAAAAAAAAAAACTATCCCTCATCTTCCCAAACAATTACACACTTCTATTAACTGCTTTCTCGAACAAAGAACAAAAGGAGTTGGCATTAACAATAAAATAAAATAAAAAAAGGAAGGAAACCAAGAAAAAAAAGAAGGAAAACAAAAAAAGAAAACGACAATACAGATTTGTACCTACCATGGGAGTTACATTTGACTCCTGGCACCATAAATGCAATTTCCAATCAGCAGCAACAGCCCTCCCCAACCACAATAAAAACATTGAAAGTATCCAACGTTGCAATTACCCATTTCAATGGCACAATTTAAATCTAACCTTTACTTGCGTGCTTCTCTCGAAGTTGCATAGCTTCTACTCTCCGTGACGTTGGCGTTCATGCCAAGGACCTCCGGTGCAATTTCCCAGCTTCCACTTCTCCTTCCCCAACTTGAGTGCCGCGTCTCTGATTGGACAGTAGGGGGTCGACGATCCGAACCCAAAACAGAGTCAACCTCTGAAGAATTATGGTGATGCACATCACTCCCTCTGCTGCGTATATCGGCATCGATATCTTCAATATTGTGACGTTGTGAGATCTTTAATAGATCTCCACCAAGCTCTAGGTCGTCTTCTACCTTGACACGCCTATCCTCCCCCAAATCGTCTGGTTCCACTTCCCTTGTGGTGGGCATAGGTGGCCTTTGTAACTCCTCTTGCACAAAGGCTCTGAAGTTGCTCCTTGAAGGCTTTACCTTTGTGCAAAATACTTCTAGAAAATTATTTGCACAACCTCGGTCATAAACATTGATCCTATTGTCAGATCTGTAACGGAAATTTTCATATGTAGTCTGCAAAAGAAATATGCAAACATTAAACTCACTGAAATAGAAAAGAAAATCATGAGGTCAACCATGTGCACATATATTTATTTGCAAACAAAAAGTCCCATCTGTTGAATGTCAAATGTTTAGAAAATTATCGTTAATTATGTTTAGAAGATTAAATGTTGAATGTCTATGCAACCCATACCTGTACATTCAACTATAAAGCAAAACAATCTTGAAAATAAAATTTAAAAAAATAATAATAATACTTACAACCCCTGTGGTGTTCTGTAAAATGAAACTACTAACTTTTCCATGCAAAGTAATGGTTAGTGTGTCTCATGTACTCTTTCAGTGCAATTTGGCCTTATTTTTTAAAGGCTAAAATGCCTTTCTACTCGTAAAATTTATTATCTTTGTTTTATTCTCTCTTTCTGTATATATACCATCACCTGTTAGAAAGCGATACCCCAAAAAAAACCTTAATCCGAACCTAGCATACATCTGTACAAGCATGCATGTGTGTGTGCATGTCTCTATACGCATCTTTTCTCTCTAAGTCCCTCCATGTGAATTGTTCTTCTACCTTCTGGTGTTTAATCAGTTTAAGTACACGCTTTGCTTGGCTTAATCTTGTCTCAGGATTAAAAAACCCTAGCCCAATCTGCTCAGACCAGTAACTATTAATTATTGTTACCCCATAATTGCTTCATCAGAGTTCTACCATCTGATCAAGTTCAAGATCCATTATACCTTATCTGCTCCAAAAACATATACAACCCTGCAGTAGTGACAATACACAATATTTGTGTTCTCTACTATTCCTTCAGGCTTGATACAGCAATGACAGCAATTGAACAAGAGAAGGAAGCTTGATATATATCACATATTTTTTAGTTATTTTCCTTAACAATCACATCTATTGCTTATACAGTTCTGCTCCTTTCAAAACAATGAATGATGCTCGGATTCACTTTTTGCAGGTTTGATGTCAAATAGTTTGGATGGAAGACTGAATGGCAATGTAAAACAGTTTTTGCTTGTGTAACTGCACCTCCACAAGCTTATGTAAACGATCAGAAAGCATATTTCCCATTGATTGTTTAAACATTTTTGCTTAGTGCACTTGTGTAGGTTATGCCACGTATTATAACTTAACTTTCTCATATTTGTTCTCTTGCTTTTGACATAGGCCAAAGGTTGCTTTCTGCTAAACAGAATTATCTGTTCCATAGTCAATACTTCACTTCGGCAACTTCATTACTGGAAATCTACTGTAAAGATTGTAGCTTTTGAATTTACAGACACACCCATCTAGAGAGAGAAAGTTACACTGGTGGTAGGGGGTGTTGGTCAGAGTGTGGTGGCTGTGAAGCAGTAGGGTCATTGCTGGTGGGTTTCATTTTAGAGGCAAAAGGAGAGAGTAGGAGAGGTCTTGGGTTCAAGAGTTGGGAATTTCTGACATGACACGTTAACACAACATGACCATACACTAAGGCCTCAATTGGCAAGCAACAGTTTTAGCCTAAAAGCCAAAAAGTTACTAAAAAAATCAAAAAGCCTATAACTTATATCAAAAAGTCAAAGATTCCATTTCTCTCTACTTTTTGCACAACTTTTCGAAAAAAACCAAAAAAGTCATTCCAAACATACTAATTTTTTTTATCTCATATTTTAGCCAAAAAGACAAAAAGTTACTAAAATAGCATGTTCTCAAACGAGGCCTAAGTTAGAGAGTTAAGAGTTAGCCATTTTTTGACATGAACCTGATTATGACACGACATGATAACATGAAAAATAAACAGTTCAAGTTAGACTTGTAGTGTCGAACTCACATATCACGATGATGACACAAATAACCCATTTAATGGAGTATTAATCACACTATCACATATTTCAATTTATTTCCACCAAAAAGTACCGCGACATATTTAAATCTTTTATGTTATGCTATCTCATCTAGTTGAATAAAAAGTATGTAAAATAAGATTTTGGGTCAAAATAGTCTTTTTGTTTTTTATTTCAGATAATTTGATCTTGTTATTTACCATTTTAGAGTAAACAAAACAAGTGAAATTAGAGAAATAGAATTGAGTTGAAATTAAACATTGTTATGAATAATTTCATCTAGCAGAGATTGGTTTCATGAAATTTAAATTGTAGGAACTAAAACATCAACGTTTCCATACTTTTGATATTTTTAGCGAAGTGTAACACAAACGACACAAACCCAAACCCGAAATGATGCGACATGACAACATGAAAAAAATAAACAAGTTGGACATGACATTCTACCATGATCCCAAGATGACACGACATGAACACAAGCAACACGAAAAAATAAACTAGTTGGATATGAAATTCTAACATGACCCCAAGATGACATGACATAAACACAAGCAACACGACATGGTTCCCACCCCTACTTGGGTCTGATGAAGCTGTAGACAGCTATAGGTGGTTGAAATAGGAGAAGAAGGTGGCTATGGCTTTGGCCATGGTGATTGCTCGTGGTGTGGTGTCATTTTTTTGAGAGAAGAAAGAAGGGAAAAATGGTATTTTGGACATTTTACTTGGCATACTAACCTGGTTAGCCTTTGCACATCAGTTCGCACCAAAGAGAGTGCAAATGTCAATTTTTAAAGTAGAGGAGGTGTGTGTATTTTTCAAGCAAACCACCATGGGGTAAAGTGAAATTAGCCCAAAGACAACAATAATAGACACAAAACAAGCAATAAAATAAACAAGTCCCATCTTTTAACCAGAGATGTACTAAAGGAGAGAACTTAACTGACCTGGTTTGTGCTAATAAGGTACAAATGAAAGCCGGTGAGTCCACCTACAAACCACAGAGAAATAAAACTATAAGCCATTAGTATCACCGATGCGGGAGATTCTTTCATTGCCTTCCAGACGGTGCCATGATGATCATTCATCAGAACCTTAATGTACAAAGCTGACATGGCAAACACGTAGATGCAAAGAAGTGTGGAGGATGAGACAAAACAAAAGAAGAAACGGTAGTTGCGCTGCACATAATCACACATGTTAGATTCATTACTTAGCACCGCCAATAAAAAAAATGACTAAGAGCAGTACCGGCAGTGGATGTAAAGACCAAAAGAAACATATAAAGTTGCAATTGGAATGTCAAGCAGCATACCAATCCAATGCATTGGCCCACCCAAGGACAATGGTGATCAAAACGCTCCACGCAGTTGTTGCAAATAGAGCAATGTGAACAACGGGGAGGGCGATATAGCATGCAGGTGTCACAATACTTCACTCTAACAGAAACGCCATTAACCATCACCTCTTTTGTTCGAGGAAACTGTAGGCTTGGTGTTTGTCTTCCCCCAACCTCAACTGATGTCGAAGTGTCATAACGAAACTCTTCCTCTGGTGGATGGGAATTACGGGGAACAATACCTGGATCCCGGGCTGACGTAAGAAAGAGAAGCACCAACACCTATCGACATTAACAAAGGGATTATAACCCACATAAGGAAAATATAGACATACACATAAATATATATATATATAGAACAAAGAAATCATCCAAATGACATTAGACAACCAAAATATGCAATTACACAAATGAGACCTTGTGATACGAATTACTTTTTGGCTTTGACATTATGGGTGTGGCCAAAATAGTATATTTAAATAGACTTAATAAACCCTGCTTTAGATATAGGCAGTATTACAAAAACAATTGGATGTCTCTGAAAGAATTCATTCAAATATATATTCCAAAAATACTAGGAAAATCATATTATTTTCATCCACCAATACTCCCTTTCCCATTTTATGAGGTGTAAAAAAAAATTAAAATCAAGACGAATACTGAAAAATTATCTAAAACTACCGCAATGGCAAACCATATGATTTTGATCCACCAGCACTCTCTATCCCAAGGTGTAAAAGCAATTCAAATCAAACCAAATACTGAAAAATCATCCACAAACTATCACAATGACCAAATGGCCATGTTGTGGAGATCACATCACCAGTAAAACATGTCACATGACCCATAATCGTACTTGAAAACCAATACTTGGGCTAGAGACTCAGGCGCATATTATCTAAACATCAGAAGAAACCTCAGAACAAGACCGCATATAATGGAATTACCATGCAATCTCAACTCCCAAGTCCCAACCATGACATTGGATTATTAAAGCTATAGTGATGACCAGGCACAGACCCTCAGCCACAAGTACTCAACCAACTACCCATATTTGAACATATTCAGAAAAAGGATTAAACAAAGTTGGTATGGTCATATATAATGTCAAGTGCAAAGAAATAAGAAAACTAACATAGATAGTAAAGACGATTGCTGCCACCAAAACTGCATATCCTGCATTGTATGTTGAAAAGTGATGACGAAGATGCCATGCAACAAATACACAGAAGATAATAACTGGAACAATTATCAGCAATATGGTGACAAGTAGTGAACGGGCATCTGGACCAAATATCAACCTCCCACCGAGGAAGAATTTCTGCAAAAGAAACAAAAAGTCAAATTCAGTAGAGATGCAACCTAAAAATTCGTTTTCAACTGATTTAAAACATGAATAATGAATCCTCAGGCCTTCACAAGCATACACGCATGAGCCCACACCTAAAAATGAAAAAACTGCACATAAACATTGAATAATGAATTGATCTTCCAGATCAGTTAAAAACGTTTAAAATAAGCTCAAACACTGAAGTTGAAGAGAAGTTTCTTGATTCATGCTCGGCAACAATAAAATAAAAATCACGACAATTACTTCTCGCTCTCCCCCCTCAAAAAAATAAAAATAAAAATAAAATAAATAAAATCATATTCCAGTTTGCTTCTTCGAATAAAACTTAATAATCTTAAGAAAAATATTGACAAAACACTGCCGGATGATGGAATGTTCCATCATAATAGGCAAAATACTCATGCCCAATTAAAGCACCAATCCTAAGCAGAAATCATCTTTAGAAACGAAATTAATATTCATTTTCAAACTAACAAATACATGGGACACACTGAAAAATAGGTATGACGTCCCATGAGTTGAAGGAAAGAAAGAACAGTTATGATCAGCTATTTTCATTGAATCCGATTTTCATGGTGATAGGACAACAAAAAGATAAACATGATGCCAAAGTTATATGTTAAAGTTATGATTGAGTTAACCGATGATTTTTTTTTTAGTTAATTTTTTGTTTTTTTTTTTATTATTAATTAGAGTTTCTATTTTATTTTATGAACATATGCCTTCATAAAAAAGAGGACAAAATTACACCAAGATACACACTCAAACAAAAGAGAGATAGAGAAGGATAGAGAAATATATGTGAGAGAGAAGAGAAAAACAATATACAAATTATAAGAGAAGATTTTTTTTTTTTTTTTGATAAATAAATAAGAGAAGATTTTAACAAATATAAACATTTAAAGCAACAAATTACAGGAATTCAGTTGAAAAGAAAAAGAAATGAAAAGAAAAGAAAAAAGAGGTATAACGATTTGGGATTACTTATCACCGAATTTCTAACACCATTTTATATAAACTCCTATTTGTATTCATGTTATAAATGTCGTGTGTATGTATAGACTTGCCATGGCACATAGAAAAAATAGTAAGACTTGCCATGGCACATAGAAAACCACATTACGTGGTGAAGAAGAGTTCTGTTGAAATATTTTGGTGATATATAGTAATATTCTAAAGATTTATAGAACATACATGAAACTCCTTTGAGGTGTGAAAACATTTTTTATTTAGAGGTAAAAAATGCGATTTTCACAAAGTTGAGGAGGGGAGCATGGCTCCGCCACTGGTTATGATTCACCCAAAAGTGTAGTAATTAAGAAAACCTTTGATTTGAAACAACCATGCTCATGCAAAAGTAGCTTACACTTCCTGATTTGATCTTTCTTTTTCTGATTTTCATATGAAATTAATAACCTGACTGGCCATCTTCTTACTCAATTTCCTTTTTTTTAATGACCTTTTATAGTTATGCATACAAGGACAAAATAAAGAAGCATTGCATTGATTGAAACAGATACTCAATTTTCTTTCTTAAAAAAACATTGGATTTGACGAATGATTGTCCTATTTGCCAGCCAAGAAAAAAAATAATAAACATACACCCAGGTAATCCCCATTGGATGGAGGAGATAGATTGGGTGCAGAACATAATAGAGGTCCTTGTGCCTTTGGAATTGTACTACACCAGCCTCGAAATGGGTTAACACTGGGGGAAACCTTAGTTGCATCAAAGTGGGGAAATGGGCAGGAGCAGCAGCAGCAGCAGGAGCAGGAGCAAGGGCACATAGAAGAACAAGAATCTAACGTCGAGAGCACCCAGTGGAGCATTTGCATATTTTAAATATAAATGTATTGTGAAAAAAAAAAAGAGCTTAATTTAACATATATATATTAAATGTTTACAATACCACTTAAACTGTTAAATATAAACATAGTGAATTCTAATTACAAAAGTACCAATTTATCACCAATAACAAATATCATTCAATAATGTCATGGTGAATAAATTTGGCCATCAAAATTTGAATATAATTTGATGTGCAACCAATGCATTGGTTTAAGACATGAAAGGTGGGGTCCATTAAACCAAAGCATTGACAACATATCAGATTGTATCCAAATTTGGACATTGTCGCATTATTTTTTACCTTTATTCCTCAATCATCATAGAACCAAATTGAAAGATCTATTAAAAATCCACATCCTTTATTTCCTAGAAAGAAAACAAAAATCTAGGATAAATATTTGTTCACCACAGCTTTTTCTTTTGCTTTTTTGGTATTCATATGTTTGAGCTATCCCATCCTAGTTGGAATCCTGATTTTATCCTGACAGAATTATTGCTCTTGATTGCGTAATCGTGGTTACATATTGGAATGTCACCCCAAATAGGCAATTTCTGCAACTAAGTGACAAACCAAAAAAAAAAAATCATTTTAAAAATTATTTATGTTCTTGATAATAATAATAATAAAATTAAACAAAATAAAAAAAGAACATTTGTGTTCATAAAGTGGCTGCTAGAACCTGTAAGCTTAAGACAACCAGTTCATGTTCAGTTTCAGAAACAAGGTCAGCCACGTGATTGTACCGGCATGTTCCTCATTCCCCAATGGAAAATCATGAGAATGGAGTCCTAAAGCCATTGAACATAGATGATACTTGCATAATCTAAAAACTAGGTAATAAAAAGGGTAAAAAGATAATGACGGATCTAGTTTTCATGTTTTTTTTTCACATAATTACAAATAGCGAGAATTGTGCAGACAGAATTTTTGTCCACATCAAGCTCTGAACCCATTTATAGTCTTACAGAGCAATAAACCAAGAGATATATCACCTTGCTATTAGTGAATTGCATTGTTAAAGGAATATACTCCCCTCTTATTCATGTTCGAATTCAGGTATAACCATACAAGAGGTACAGATTTCTGAGACACATGAAAAAGATCAATTTTCCTCTTTTTTTGACCCCACTAGATATCAGTACAGAATTCATCATCTTAGACACTTCTTAGAGTCACATTTCGAACATTTTAGTGACATTTTACATAATAACGAACCAAAGTTACAGCTCAGTAAGTAGATCATATCTGCCCTAACTTCATATGAAGAATTGATAGTGTTCTGTGTGAGATTTTCTAACACTTGAACTCGCGAAGGTAAGATCTTGGTCTTCTTCTTCTTGTTTTTTGTGCACATACCTAGGGTACTATTCCCATAGAACATGCCCTTTTCAGCTCTTAAACCCTAACCAATCTCAAATATTTTGGATTGTTTGGGAGTTCTAGAAAAATGTCATTTTTTCTTAATTAGATGACATGAAAAATAAATGTTGCTCATGGTAATAGGGGAATTGTTTTGCAGAATATTTAAGAAGTTGTTGAGAATGAAAGATTATAGATACCATTTTACCAAAGAAAGAAAAAAATTCAAAAGTTCCCAAAAAAATTAAACAACAATCAAAAGAGATATAATTAATGAAATATTAAGGATAGGGAAGATTACTTGGATAATTTGGTCATGTGCAATGAAGGACAATAATTGCACTAACAACGAAGAGTAGTATTATCTACATCAATTATGACGCTAAGAATGAGGAAAACCAAATCCAATAAGAAAAAATGGTGACTTAGGGGCTGTTGGTGCAGCTTAAAAGTTGCCTATAGCTTTTTTTATTTTGGAAGTTTGTGTCATTGTTTAGTGCAGCTTCTGCTTATAGCTTATAAGGCAACATAACTTAAATAAGTACTAAAAAAACATATGATTATCGAGAAACTGAAGAAGGGATGCTTTGGCTTTTGCTTTCTAATTTCCAACTTTTAGGTTACAATAAGTTGCACCAAGCAGGCCCTTAGACTGGAATTGATGTTTTATCCCTCCATTGAGTGGAATGACAAAATAGGATTCATGTCGGTATCTCGAATAGCTAAGAAAATGTATTATTGAGTTGACTTATAAAAAATTAAAAATTTAAAAAAAAGGAGGGCACTCTCGTTATGAAGAATAGCATTGTCCAAATTGAGCATGATGCTAAAAACAAGGAAAACCAAATGCGACACGGTTTAGATGTTAAGAGAAACATGTTGGCATAGGGTATAGTTGATGCTTTAGGTCATGATAGAGTGGATGGGAAAATGAATCATTGAGTTTGACTTATAATAAAAGAGAAAACTGGCACTGTAATTACAAAAATTAATAGATTTCTCAATCAAGGCAAATGTCTCATCTACGAGGCTATGTAATCACTTCAAGTTTTTCATTAGTATATGTCATAATCCTTCATTTCCACATTCATTTTTAATCTCTAACATCTATGCATTCTTTTATCTATTTCTAAAATTGTTTTTGGATCTTATCATTCTTGATTCAGTCCAATTCACGATTCAATAAGGTAGTATTTTAATTCACCATTTAAATATTGATTTAACAACTATGCACAAATTAACTAAACTCACCAATATCTTTGTGCCATGATTTCTAAACACTTACAAAGCACTCCATTTCATCCATCATGCTCAAGTTCTATGCAATACTCTCTTCAATCTTTAATTTCTCTGCCTAATAAGTAACCAAGCATCAAATGACGAAAATCAACACACTTCAGTTTTTATTGGTCACATAGATCCTAACAAATGAAATGAAATGGCCTATAATACGTCAGAAACCAACCTACTATTGGAGGGCTACTAGTCTTGACCATGTCAACACATAATTCAATATTTAAGATTGTCTCTCTTCTAAAGAAGAATGAGAGAGAAATTAAAGGAAAAAAAAAAAACACCCCCTTATTTCTAGTCGAAAAAAGAAGAAAGAAATAGGTGTTGCATTAGGTGATGTTACAGTTGTAGATATCATGACATAAACTTGCCGTTAGTTTTACTTCTTCTTATGGTTTCTACTCTCTAAAATATAATCCTGATTCAAAGCTTAAGCAGATTATCCAATATAGGATATTTTTACAGATCGGTAAATTCATCATCTTCATCAACTTGGAGGCTTGGAGTTTTAAGTTGCTCAATTTATTCAATCATAAATATGCTGAAAGGGGCAGTAGAAATAACATTGCCACTGTGACGTTGAAGCTTCTATTTCCAGAAAATACAATCTGTTGTTTCATACAATTCCTCAAATAAAACAAGATCTTTATAAATTACATTTGCAATCAAATTATGCAATCATGATGTGAACACAACCCAATTAATTTGAGAATATAATTAACAGCGAGAATAACAACTACAAAAACAAAAACCAAAATATGCAAAGTATAAATAGAACAATTATGTATACAAATAATTTGTATATGATAGTTCCTTGGGTCTTAATGTCATAGAGTTGTTCTGTTCCCCACCCTATGTCATTTTTAGGCACCCATGCTCTTGTGTGAAGTTCACAGCTAATAAATTATTTTTATTTTTTATTTTACAAAATTGCATCATGGTCTTACTTTTCAAGCATTTCTTGAAAACCTAAACTTCCAGTTTACCCTACTCCATTAACATAATGAATGACAAAGCTCTTTTATAAGTTTCTAGTTTATTATCAATAATTAAGAAAAAAAAAATAGTTGCTTAATAATTCTCCCCCTGATTACATAATGCTCAAAAGATCCCACCAGAAGTTGACAATTCCATCACCTAACATACCCTTGTTCTCTTCTAATACATTATTGTCACCAGATCCTGTAAAAAATATTCCTAGATCAATCAATCAATTTCTTTTAAAAAATAAAAATAAAAACTTCTGAGTCACTGCTAAATCTGTTCCTTTAAATTTCTTATTGTTGTAATCATTATTCTTCTTCTTCTCCTTCTTATTGTTATGAGATCTGGTATTCACTTTCGAGGAAGAATGAGATGAAATAAAGGCAAAAGAGGACAAAAATAGAAATAACCATACGTCGTAGCACTTGCAAACAGTCCAAAACAGGGTCACCTTGAGATGTCGACTACCTTGAACACGTGCAAGGTCAGATGTCCAAAACTATGCGATTATCTCAATTTTGTTTTCTTTCTCCAGTAATGCGGCAGAAAACAGAACTATTTTGGCTAAATAACTCGTTCAGCACTGAAATAATATGATGGAAAACATCAATTGTCGGAATGCCACCACTATGGTCATGTCCCTAATCTCACAAAGTATGACAAAGTGTCTCCACAGAAATTGCAAAAGTTGTGGTTAAAAACAAGTGAAACCCGATAAAATACCTTCAGTACTCCAAATAACTTGGAACTTGGAGCTTCACACTGTCTTTGCCACTAACGCTCTTTAAGTACAACTAAGCCAACTTGAACTTTAACTTACATAAATAGGAACCCAATAATTCCACTACAAAAACTCTCACCAAACCTGCCAATCTGACTCCTAATCAAACACTAAGAATTTACGACACTACAGCAACTCTCCCCAAACCTACCAACCAACTCCAAATCAAACATTTAAAATTTACTCTACTGCCCTAATACAACACCACATCATTTCAATACAGAAAGAATATATATATATGTATATATATATACCCAATTTCAGTTATGAACAAAAATTGACAAGATAAATATGCTGAAAGAAAGTATATCACTATATTCACTGTTTTAGGCGACCGATTGTAGCCTGATTCAAAGCACATCCAGGAAAAACTACCAAATCAATCAAAACCCACTAAATTTTAGGCAAAATAAGGAAACCTAAAGCATACCCAGATGGTAAAAGTCAACAAAAAGCAGCAAGAAGAGAGATTTCAAAGTGGAGAAACAAACATCTTACATTGCTTCCTTTCCAAACTTGGTACACCCGTTTAGCCATGTGAATACCACTCGCTCTCGCTTCTTCACTACACGGGAAGAGAGTCGAAGACTTGGAACTTGTGGATGCTCATCTCTCTCTCTCTCTGTCCCTCAGGCCCACACAAATCTCAGAACCCACAATTCGATCGATTGGTCGATGCAAAAAGAGGAATACAGAGTCGGTTTCTGAGGATTTTGTGAAATGATGGTTTCAATTTTTGGTGCGAGGAGAGAAGAATCGAAAGGGGTTTTTGGGTCGTCGCTCGCTGTTGTGATCTGAGGAGAGAGAGACAGAGAGAGAACCGGTGACGGTTTTGGTGTTTTAAATGGAATGTTTTGGGAAAGCCTTGGACACGAATTTCACAGGCAAAGTAAAAATAATTAAGAAATTAATTCATTATTAATTAAAACACTTTTCTCTCTCTCTCTGTCTGCTCTGTCTTATGTCATGCTTAGTAAATCAAATTTAGGTGATTATTATGTGATTAAATCACTAATTTGACTCTCATTATCAATTTTTTAAGGTAGATAGTGACTTAACCGTTACAAATCAAAAAAACAGACGTAAAGATGTTGTTTGATAATACTTACGTTTTTAATTTTTTATTTAAATTTATAAAAATTTAAAAAATTTAAATAAAAATTTGTTTAGTAATATTTTTGATTTATAAATCAGTGGTCTCAGCTTATAAATTTAGCCAAAAAATATGTTTCCATTTTGAATTTTGAATTTTTTTTTTTTATCACCCAACACTGGTCACCACCTGCCACCATTTTCCACCACCGTCTTCCGCCACCCACCACCCACCCCCCACCGGCTTAAGACCTGTCATCACCTCCCCCCAAGTCTTTCACAATGTCAATGCATATACATGCAAAAGCAGACAAGGCATACACAATCTTTACCTGTTTGAAGCATAGGGTATGGGCTGGAAGCAGCTGGACAGTCTCTTATGAAATGGTCTGGAGAACCACACATGTAACAGGTACGATCCCCCTGATCTCCAACAAATGTAGACCACATTTAGAAATCTCTCTCACAGACAATGGTTAAAAATCTGTAAACCATACAACCACCCACCACCACTGTTACCATCCAAGGCCATCCCACTGCTGCCATCATCAGTGGGCCAGTGCAAGCCATGGCCACCACCCCCCTTGCCACCATCACCCACCCCCCATCACCACCACCACCCCCAGCCACCAGCCACCAGCTACCCACCCCCCACCGTCACCACTTTCCACCACCGTCTTCCGCCACTACCACCCACCACCTACCACCAGCCACTGTCACCCACCCACCCGCTACCACCACCCGCCACTTACCCGCCATCCGCCATCTACCTGCCACTACCACCCATCACCGCCACCACCACCCACTCGCTACCACCCACCACCCATCACCCGGCACCGTCACCCACCCATCCACCACCACCACCTGCCACCTACCCGCCATCCGCCGCCACCCATTACTACCCGTCATCCGACACCCACCTACTACCACCACCTACCACCACCACCACCCACTCGCTACCATCCGCCATCGTCACCCACCCACCCATCACCACCACCAGCTACCCACCATCCACCGTCACCACTTTCCACCACCGTCTTCCGCCGCCACTTGTCACCACTTGTCATTTCTCACTCTTTTTTATATTTTTAAATTTTTTTAAACATTTTGTCAATTACCAAACGCGTTTGTAGTTTATGTTTTTTTTTAAAATAAACAAAAAATAAACAAAAATCAGTTTATAAAATTTTTATAAATATAAACTGAAAACGTAAACGTTACCAAAATACCCAAAGAGTTTGGAGTTTTCAATCGGTTTGAAATTAGAAGAATGTTCAAAAGGAAAAGAAAAAAAAAAAATCACTATTAATTTAGACAATTTCCTTTAAATTAGGAAAAATTAATTCAATTTTTACTATGACATTTGAAATTTTTTTTTTCTTTCAAGTTTAATTCCTTCATGTTTAAAAAAAAATTCAATTTATTATTAAAAACTAACTTCTATTCAAAATTGTATATAAAATGTCACAATATCTGTCATATGATATAAAAATTTGGAAAATGTCTCGTAACTCAAATTTTGTGGATCAAAATTTGAGTTACGTAGCATTGTCGTAAAAATTCTATTATTATATTGAGCTTTGTGTTTGTCTTTGTGTTTACGTTTGCATTTGAGGTGTGAGTTATATATAATAAAATATTTTTATCCTATGTGATTGTTAATGTGTCATTTTCTGTTTAATTTTAGACGCAAGTTAACTTTTATAATAAATTGAAATTTTTTTGAAGCATGAAGGGTTAAAGTAAGGGGGGAAAAAAAAAACTTAAGTAATGTTTGATAGAGTTTTAGAATTATGATTTGATAATAGAACTATATTTTGAGATTGTGAGTTTTAGAATTATTATTTGAAAAGAAAAAATTTGTTTAGTTATGAGTTTTGAATTTTTGATGTGACATATGAAATGAAAAAAATTGTTTGGTTATGAGTTTTGAAAAGAATTTTTAAAACTTAATTCAAAAACTTACAACTCATAACCAAACACACAACTCAAAATCTATTAAAAATTCTATTCAAAATGCATAACCAAACTCTTTTTAACATTCAATTAATTTTTTATTTTTTTGTCATTTTGGTCTAAAAATAATTTCTATATTTAAATATCAAAAACAAATATAATTTTTGTTTTCTCAAATAACACGTGGCGATTGGCGATTGGCGATTGACAATTGCCAAAAAAAGAAAAAAAAATTACACTGTTCTGGTCAATCGGCTGAACGTTCGGGAGACGTCCTGGAAGATGATCAGGTAGATCCAAAATTCAAAAATGTTCTACTTTTCATAATGGAAAAGACGAGAGAGAGAGAAGCTAAACGGAAAAGAGAAATATGTTTTGAAATGTGTGGTGGAATCACATTTCCAAAACTCCATCTAAACAATGCATGCAAATGAAAATGTGAAATTATGATTACAAAATTGTACCAAACACAGCCTTAAAAAATTTGCTCGTAAGTCTCATTTAAGAAAAGTATGTATTGAAAAATCCCATAAATTTTCTTATACATAATGAAGCCCCATTGATTTTGACAAAAGTATATAGTTGGTGGAGATTCTAAATGTAGGTATATTTCATTTATGTATTATTGTCTTATTAAATTTTTACTAAGCCTTCGTTTGAGATGTGCATTAATTTTTTGACTATTTTAGTTTGGGATTAAAAAGTCTCATTTGAGATAGGTTTTTTGACGTTTGTGAGAGTAAAAATGAAATGATTATAATTTAAATGTAATATTTTGTTTTATTTAGCTAAAATAGTCAATTTTGTCTTATATGACTAAATTATCCCGAACGGGCATGCTAAATAGGGCGTAAATGTGTCATTCTTAAAATGTGATAATAATACATCTTTCTAATATGGGTATGCTTTGTGTAGGAGAATTTAAAGTGAGATAAACTTGTGAATTCATAAAAATATTTATTGAATTAAATGGTCCATAAATCATCAATATAAAATTTATTAGTAGATGTTTCAAAAAACTTCAGGAGTCCAAATGAAAATATATATATACATATATAAAAATATATATAAAAAGTACGTCAAAGTGTAATTTAACTTTTAAATTATTAATATTAATTCACTTGTCCCAAATTGAATAATACCCTTAATTAATCAAGTATTATTTTGGCAATTCGGTTAAAAGCAGTTTTTTTAGTTTTTTTTTTAGTCACATCATCTCTATTTTTTTACAAGTTTTTTAAATAAAAAAAATTAAAAAGTCAACTTTTAACTTACTTCTTGAAACATGTTATGTAAAAATATTAATTTTATTTACAATTTAAGATAAATTGAACTAATATTAATACTTTAGGGGAGGCTAGTTGTTTAAATTGATAATTCACAGAATAGAGTGATATAGGTGTGATAGCTTTTTTCAAACGATAAAATATATATATTTTTAAATTAATTATTTGTGTTATAAATACCACTAGTTGAAATTTAAAAATTATATAGGAGGCAACTATAATATGTGTTTTTTTGCATATTGCTAATGAAGTTAATTGAGACCATGACTACTTGAATCATTATATATATTCAAAAGGGAAAATTGAATACTAAATTGGTGTAATATATTAATCTTGAAAATATGTGTATAAAAAATTAGTGCTATTTTACCATAGCAAATTAGTAAAATCTACTATTTGAGTTATATAATTTATTTTCACTTTTATGAGTGAATTTTTTTTGGGGAAATATCAAATCAGTAAGATAGTCAAAAGTTATTTGCATTTTTATAGTAGTACAATTTTACTCTCTGTGTGGTGCAAATTCATTTATGTACTTGATGTAACTCTTCTTGTGTTACTTAAAAAAAAAAAAAAAAAAAAAAAAAAAAAAAAAAAAAAAAAATTTCTCAAAAAGTTAAAAAAAAAAAAAACCCCTAAAAATAAAAAAAAAAATTAAAAAAAAAAAAAAAAAAAAAAGAGCACTAGTGTCAGTTTTTTCTATAGGTTGGATTGGCATGCGTTAATAATAAATTAAAAAAAGCTGAAGAAGTCGTTGAAATGATGTCCCAACGCAATGTGCAATGGTTGGGCTAATTATTTATGTTGTTATTGGTGTGTGCAATGTCCCCAAAAAAACAAATAATAATTTTTGTAGAATAGATTGAATAAAATATTGATAGACCAAATACATGTCTCAACTCCCAATCTTTTATGAATCTATGTTTGAGATCCCCTCTATATCAGGATGTGCTAATATAATTGATTTTTAAATTAAAAAGGATCATTATGTAGTTAAGTTTCGAAAAAGAGAATCGAAACACAAGATTATAATGAGATTAATATCTAATTGAGTTTTGAAAAAGTGAATGGAAACATAAGATCATAAATGAGATTTTGCAATCGAGCAATGGCATAGTCAATGGTAGGGCCTTATGCCACACTGCCCACTTGGCTTGGGTTAAAATCTCAATGGTAAATTATATTAGTCTTGTATGAGATTTTGAGAAATTATAATATATTTTATAAAATTGATATAATTATAATAATTTTTTTAAATTTTTTTTAAGAATAGCACTATTCAATTTAATAAAATTATAGTTTTACCCTTACAGAAATTACTTGTAACAAATTTAAAATTTTAGTTTTACCCTTGTAGAAATTATTTGTAACAAATTTAAATACTACCTTTGTCTCAAATTCTCACTTTGGAAGGAAAAACAAGAATTTATTCTCATGTCAAAAATTTATTTTTTTTTCCACAAATTAAAAGTACTTAAAGAGATGTTTTAATTGGTGAAAATAAAAAATAAAAAAATTTGGTAGGAGAATAATAAGTTTATGAGTAATGTTATATGTATCAATTTGCTATATCAATTAATGTATCGACGGATGATGTGATACAATTTTAGAGGTTTTGAATATTTATAATTTGTATAATGGGTGGAGTCATAATTTTAAAATGGTATGTCATAACTATGTTAGTATACTAATTAATATACCAATTGATATATATTGTACCACTGTAAATTTATAGGAGGTTGTAATAAATTCTAAGGCAAGTTAAAGATTGAAGCAAACAATACAAGCCTAGAATTTAATGAATCAGTATATTTAGTGCTAGAAGCAAAGAATGTTATTCAACAATATCTCATGTAAACAAAAATACCAACCCAAACAATACAAGCCTAGAATTTAATGAATCAGTATATTTAGTGCTAGAAGCAAAGAATGTTATTCAACAATATCTCATGTAAACAAAAATACCAACCCAAACATAGGTGGTGCTTGATAAAACTGGAGGCTGAAAATTAAGTGTTAAAAGCGGGATTGTTTGTGATGTATATATATGTGTATTTTTTGATTTTTTGGATAAAAAAGTAAAAAAAAAAATGTATGTTTGGAATAATTTTTGTAACTTTTTACGAAAATATGTGCAATAAAATATTATAGTAAAATCAAAATAATCATTCTACCCTTGTTGACTTTTTGACTTTTGAGTAGTTGAATTCAAAATTTTACCCACTATGCTTTCCCCACAAGCTTTTTTCAAAAAGTATGAATTTTTTGACTTTTTTAGTAGTTTTTTAACTTTTTGAATTTTGTAGGTTATCTCAAACAAAGCCAAATGTTGAATTGTTTAAGTTATAAAAATTATTTGACAAAAATTTAAGTGTTCAATTAAAAATAAGTTATTTGATAAGTATAAGATTAAATTTGAAATTTATCATTTTTAAATTGTGTATTTTAATTTTTGTATTATGATGATGGTGGTGGTGGTGGTGGTGGTAGTGGAGGTATAACAATTGTAGTGATAATAAAATGATAACAGTGTTTATGACAATAATTACAGTGGTGATGAATGTGATAGTAGTAGTAGTGGTGGTAGTGGTGGCATGATAATGGTGGTGATAGCGATAGTGATGATGGTAGTGTTAGCTGTAGCAATAATAGCGGTGGTGAAAGTGGCATGATGGTAGTGACAGTATTAGCGGTGGTGGTGGTGGTGGTGGCATGATGGTGGTGGTAGTGAGTTTATATATTTTTTTATAAATTTAGTCAGAATTAAGTAAGTTTGATATAACTTAAAATTTTTCTAAATTTTAACTTACATTTTAAGAAACACTGAAATTTTTAAATAATATCAATTATAATTATCAAACGAATTTAATTAATTATTAATCAATTCAGTTTTAAGTGTCAAATCATGTTACCAAACAGCACCATAAACCAGCATTGAACAGAAAATTTTCCACAAAACAATTCAATAAGCACAAAATTACTAAATCCACAACTACATAACTACGAAGTAAACCAATTAGCTGCAAATTGAATTAAGTTCCTTTTAGATTTGGCACGACCCAAATTGGGGGCAACACGAGCTTTTTATAAAGATTCGGTATGTGAAGTGACCGAAAGCTACCATCTTCCAAGTTGAAGACACCCCAGTCATCACCTGCAGGCCCATGACAAACATACCGTGCAAAGTAGACATGAGTTTGATCGGTGTAGTATATGCAGTTGGATTGACATCCTGGGAATTCCAAGGACGAAACACACACAGAATGATTGCCCCCCAAAAACAAGGCCTGGTTGCCAATGCTCTTGATTTGAACCCATGTCGCCTGTGATTTCCCAATTGGATTCGAGAAATCATCCTCGTCAATAGATTTCCAAAACCTTTGAACGAGCAGTAGATTGCCCTCCTGTGATTCAACGAGGTAAGTAGCTTGGACAAAAACACTGCTGCTTTTGGGCACATCCTTTTTTAACCACAAGTTTATTAATACTAGTAGTAATTCCAATCCTAAACAACTTGCTCCAACAGTTCACAGCATAAACTTGGCCTTTATGAAAAATATAACATCAGAAAATACATAGTCTCGTTTCATATACTCTCCTTTCAGTTTAATGAACTTCCAAGACTTATCTCCTGATCTCAAGAATGCCAATCTACGCATACCACCATAAATTATCACAACCTCGTAACTGTTTGGGTTTAGAAAAGGGTCCGATGATAGGATCCCCTTAATGATGAAGTAGTCATGATCACCGTCATTCACCCAATATTACTATTCACCAAAAGCATCATCAAGAACTGGAAGCTTAACGAACCCGCGGTTGATGAAGGGCTTCAAGAGAGTTATAGCAATGTTTGTTTTTCCGACAGTAAATAACCATCCAAATGAAGAACCACAAAACCTGTTTCGTCTTGATCGTCAGCATTGGGAGCTTATTATGACACGTTGCCTCTGCTTGTGATGATGATCATCATTATTATTATTATCCTCGAGAGCAATGTGACGCCATTGTTTACAGACAGCACTAAAATGTATGCAGTCCGAGAACTGATTTCTTGAATGCAACAGAGAAGTTCTTGGGGAAGCCATGCCCGGTGCCGTTCTACAACGAGAGAGAGGAAGCCAATTACTAAACAGAGAACACTATTGTGATGTATTTTACAAGAAGGTTTCATCAGGCACGCATTTAAAAGACCAGTTCGTTTGGTTCCAATTTTTCAGTTTTCACATAATTTCACTTTTTTATTTTTCGTCTTTTAATGTTTTCAATGAATATTTTAATATTTTAAGTAATTTTTTTTTTTTAATTTTTAGACACACCTAACATAAACACACTTAAAAAGTATAATATTTGTGAAAAAAAATCTTTAAAAAATACACTAAATACCAAAAAATACAAAAAAAAAGAAAATTTAGTACATTTTCATATTTTTGTGTATTTATTAATTTTTAAAAATATTTTTTCACAAATATTTTATTATTTAGATACATCTAAGTAAAGTGCATCTAAAAAAGTAAAAAAATTATTTAAAATTTAAAAAATATTCACTAAAAACAAAAAAATACGAAAAATAAAAAACTCAGTTTTTAAAAAATTGAATTCAGAAAACTGAAACCAAACACATTCTCAAACTGTTACAAATTTTGGAGAGAAGGAATTTTTGTAAGTGTGCAACCGCAATGCGTGTGCAAGTAAGGCAAAAGAAATATTATGAGAAGAATGATATTTTTATTGCTTCAGATTTATAATTATAATAAGTTTACAAAAATTGCATTTAAAACATATAACGTAGATGTATCAAAATTTTTAACACACATATCATTCATCAATGAATGATTCACATTAATTTTGACAACAATGTTAGGTAGTTCAAAATTTTGTGACTCAAATGACTCAAATCACTCAAAACGACGTCATTTTGAATGTAAAACGACGTCGTTTTGACAAATTTAAGCCATTTGAGCTACAAATTTTTGAGCTACCAAACATTTTCCATTGAGCAATTGTTGGGGTTATTAGAGTTATAGTTGAAGTTGTCAACAGTTCATTTAGTTAATAAATCCTATTATTTAGGATATGTGGATAGAGTCTGACCATTTGCTTAGTAAGTTACCACGTTATTAGGATCAGTAAAACGTGGGTTGTTTTTCTGTTTCAATCTTATCTCTTTATAAAGCTATATATAAACCAATAGCTTGTTTTGAATAAGATGACATTTTCCAGATATTTTTCTCTGAATTGCTTTGTGCTTATAGTTTACAACAATCTGGTATCAGAGCCCCATCACGGGGCCTGATTGTGAGAGAAGAGAAACCGCAGTTTTTCTTAAGAAGATAAAGAGTGAGAAGAGAGAGAGTTCAAGTATGGCAGCTGAAAATAATTTCGTTCAACCTGCAATTCAAAAGTTTGATGGTCATTGCGATCATTGGTCCATGCTTATGGAAAATTTTCTTCGTTCAAAGGAGTATTGGAGTTTGGTGGAGACTGGAATCCTTGCTGCAGCAGAAGGAGCGGAGCTTATTGACACACAACAAAAAACCATTGCAGACCAAAAGCTGAAAGACTAAAAGGTCAAGAATTATTTATTCCAAGCCATAGATCGAACCATTATGGAGACGATCCTCAACAGAGACACTGCCAAGCACATCTGGGACTCTTTGAAGCAGAAGTACCAGGGTTCCACAAGAGTCAAAAGAGCACAGCTCCAAGCTCTTCGGAAGGTGTTTGAGGTCCTCCAGATGAAAGAGGGTGAGAGTGTTGATGCGTACTTCGCTCGAACACTCATCATAGCAAACAAGATGAAGATTCATGGTGAAAACATGCCGCAAGTGGTGATCATTGAAAAGATCTTGAGATCAATGACCTCAAGGTTCGACTATGTTGTGTGTTCAGTTGAAGAGTCTAATAATTTAGACACCTTAACCATTGATGAGTTGTAGGGCAGCTTACTGGTACATAAGCAGAGGATGAACGGGCATGGAGGAGATGAGCAGGCATTAAAGGTGACCTACGATGATAGAATTGGTGGCCGAGGAGGCAGTCGAGCTCATGGAGCTTTTCGAGGTAGAGGTAGAGGAAGAGGTAGACAAGCATTCAACAAGGCTACAGTTGAGTGTTGTAAGTGTCATCAATTAGGGTACTTTAAAAATAAGTGTCCTAATTGGGAGAAGAAAGTGAATAATGCTAGCTTGAGGAGACAGAAGAAATGTTGCTGATGCTATATGTGGAGCTTAATCAATCAAGGAGAGAAGATGTCTGGTTCCTTGACTCAGGGTGTAGCAATCATATGTGTG